TGGCCCGTTTTTTAATTAGACGTATTTAAGATTTCTCTCATGCTGCGCCTGACCCAATTCTGGCTGGCTAATAACAAATTCTGAGATCGCTGAGGCAGCTGTTGCAACACACATGCGATTTACCCAGAGCCCTGCTCCATTCAGATTTACTGGCACTACGTTTTACACTTAATAAAACGTCCGCAGTCGAGCCCAAAAAACCCAACCCCTTTAACTACTTATTTCAGGCCGGGTGGTTGCTTGATGGGTGGGTGGTGTGATGGTTGGGCGGTTGAGTGGTTGGTGTTGTTGGTGTGGTACGGCCTTCGGCTCGCTTCGGACGCAGCTGCTGCTGCTGCTCTCGCTTTGCTGTGCGCCTAATTAAAACTCATTACCATAAGCATAAACTGAAGCAAGGAGCTGCTCGCAGCTCGCCAAATGCAGACAAAAAAGGACTTGCGGAAATTAAAGTCAAATTAACTGAGCAGCCCAAAGTCAACTTCAAGGGTTTTTCAAGAGATGAGCGCACAGATTGCTTAACCTTCTCCCAAGCTGCGCCTTGGGTCGATGCTTCCGTCTGGGGAGAAGTTCACTTAATGCAATTTCCTTGCCAGACGGCGAGGTCGACAACTGCTTTTTGGGGGTTAGTTGTCGTATCGACCATTTTGTTGGCACTCCGCACTATCCGCACTAGACAAGTAATCCCCGCTCTCTCTCTCCTCCTTGGCCCCACAAGCTCTGCCGCACATGCAGCAATGTGCAACCCTATTGAAAGTGAAAGCTTTGTTTTCCATGCGTGCATCGACCCCTTCCGATGGCTGGCGCTCGCTCTCTCGCATAGCGTGCGCTCTCTCCATTTCGTCTCCGTCCTGTCTCTCTCTCGCACTACCAGGCTGGCCGTCGTCTGTCTGGCTATCCAGTTCCCTTTTGCACTGTGCAACAGTTGCCGCCAGCTGCTGTTTGCTGAGCGCCTGTTAAAGTTGCCGCGTCGCATTTTTGTGCCAAGCCAAAAAGGACGAGGCGATGAGTGAATTTTACTCTCTCTCACTCTCTATGTCTCTCTCTCTCTCTCCGTCTACTTTTCTTTGTGCCTCTCTATCTCTGTCATTGCTGTCTGGCTCCGCATTATAGTGGCTCATTGAAACTCAACTCAAAAGTAAAGTTTGTTCGCAACCTGCGAGCAGCAGAGGGGAAATTCAGTCTTCGTTTCGCTTTTTGGGGCTGTAGACGCTTTTAGTTTTGTCCTCCGCTTATGCCTTGCCACATTTGTTATTGTTGTTGTTGTTGTTTCCTTTGTTTGTTGGGCATTTCACTCGCAAACTGTTTTCAAATGTGGCCGCTTGCGCTTTTATCTGCACGCATAGAGAAAGAAAGGAAGAGAGAGGGAGCGAGGGGAAGAGAGAGCGCGGGTGAATAAAAGAGCGACTGAATAGGTTGAATGGCTAAACTTTGACGGAAAAAAAATGGAGCATTTGGGAAAAGCAAACTTTACTAAAAATATATTTCTATGAATTAAAGATATATAAAGTCAAACTTTAAATCAAAAATGTTCTTGCAACCCAAAAAAGTTACTTAAGTTTTTAGTAAAATTAATTTGAAACAACATTAAATATATGTATATATTTATAAATATTAAATTTCATAATTTTATCAGTGGCAACCTCCATTTGGCTAGTTTGTTTCAGTGTGGGGTCAAGCGCCACAGTGGTTGTTTGTTGGGGGCTGCTCAAAGGGGGAGGTTGTGTGCTAGAATAATAATTTCGCTGCCAGCAGCCTCTCACTCTTGCTTGCACAATGGCAAGCTGGGAGTAACAGAAGACACCTGCTGGAGCAGTCTGACCGCCCAGCAGTGGCTCTCCCCTTGCTGTTATCTGTGCGAGAAGCGTTGCTAAACTTTCGCACCCTTTTAACATTTTCGGGCTGGCTGCCTTAGGGGTGGCTGCCGTGTCCCGTTGGTCGCCGCAGGAGTCGTTTTGTTGATCGTTATAGTAAATCATTCGAAATGAATTTCACTCCACCGCTCTCACCCCGACAACTGAGTAAATAGCGTGTGCTCAGCCAAAAGCAGCAACGACAACATATGACCCAGGTTTCAGCCAGGGGTGGGTGGTTAGAGAAATTGCTTTGCCAGCTTACTTTTTATCAAACGCAAGCTGGAGTTTTCTATTAGACATGAACAGGGTGCTTTTCCAACGAGTCAGCCAAAGGAAGCACAATATAGAAAAAAGAACACAGAAACTGCCATATCGTTAAGTTAAGGTCATTTATTATGTTCACGACACCTTCCTGCCGCCGCCTGCTGGCCACATTTGGTATGCGCGTGTCCCCCGGCTCCTGTCGTTGTCTGTGAAGAAATTATGCGGCAATTCATAAAAAGCGGCAAGCGGTCCACCCTAATGTTATTCGAACATCGATTTTTGGCAACGATTTATCGATTCCAAGTGGAATGTGTGGTTAGACATAGCTCGACATTTAATGATGGGAATGGGCCGCCTCTACCCGCAGCTGGTATCAGCTAAAGGATTCGCTTAAGACACCATTCAGTTTTATCAACTCTCAGGCAACTATTCAATTAACTTGGCTGCCAATCTAAGGAAATAGCACAGCCAGCTCCTTCGCATTACACATGCTAGTCACAAACGCTGTCAGGCAGTTCATGGAAAAAGCGACCACAATTGTGGAAGTTGCCGTTGCCGTTGCCGTTGCCATTGCTGTTGCCGTTGGTAACGAGCCAATTTAGATAAGCAAAGGCTTCCAGTTGCCCCACACGCTACACTTAATTCATATCTTGTGCAACATAACAATTAGTGCAGGCCATAAAACCGAGCGAAGCAAACGCCGCTGCCCTTCCCCAAAATAGAGAGAAGTTCGTCTATGTACACACATACATACATATATGGAGACTGAAGGGAAGCTGCATTTGTTTACAAATTGTGCACGAAAAGTAGCTAAATTTATATTGGAAATAAACAAAATACAAAATACATTCCACACTTTCTTCTATGCACTGTGCACGTGGATGATAATGCATAATTCAACTGGATAGCAAAACATTTATGAGCTCCGACCAAGTCAAGTGTAGGAATACTTGTAGTTGCCATAGCTCAATTCTAGATACTCTTTCAAATAGGTTCTATAATTATTATAATATGAGCAGAATCATTCTGCATATTCGAGATTTCTACTCAGAAACATTTTAATTTAAAGCAATTCGAATTTTAAATAGATTTTCTGTACTCTACTCTGCAGCAAGAGTATTTGAAAAGTATATTAAAAAAGTCAACATGTTTGCTTTCAATTAGCATTAAAGTTTTTGGACTGTATGCAGCGCTCGTCTCTATCCATTCATGAGAACTGTCTAAATAAACAAAAGTCTTGCCAGCTATAAAAGTCAGAAAATAAAAATCCAGAACAGAATCGGCGGAATCCGTGGAGCATGGGAGATGTGCAGCATAATTTACAATGATTACTTCGTTGTAGGGAGCTAATGCAGAAGTCTTTTAGAATGGTTTACTTCTGAAACTACCTGAGCGCCGAATGTGAATGTGAACGTGTTAAATGTTTGCGTAAACCATCCAGAATCATTGGCAGCCACGCCCTTATCGGTGGGCTCGGGTTACCTATCCGCTTGCGTTTACGTTTACGGTTACGGTCACTCGTCATGTCCGAGCTGGTAGCCAAACGCATCGTTTACTTTTCATCTGAACGAACAAAGTGGCACGCAGTTAGCTGCACTTTTTTCTTTGACACTGGTGTCTGGGTTTTTGGTTTTTGGTTTCCATGTCAAGTGGCAGCGAGTTCCAGTTCCCGGAATCTGCATAATGTGCTGCTGCCGTTCGTAATGCCTTCTGGCTGGGCTGAGGTTAGTTTAGTGACCAGTACAAACAACTGGAATGCATTCGAACAGTTGTTCCCTAATGCTCGAGCAAATAGAACGCTCACAATTTCACTGGCTCGAAATATTTGTGCATACTGATGCGGGTCTGCCCCATCGGCGAACTGGGCAGACAGAAGCCGCCTTACCATCTACTGCCCTATATGAGTTCAGCTGATGCAACAGGGAAGTGAACGAGTATGTAAATGTTTTACAAATATACATAATTGGTTCATTATGATCTATTGTGAATTAGTATAAATGTGTTAATTTATTCTTGAATAGTTTGTGAAATTATATATGACTGTAGATTATCCATTGATAATCGTTTGTGTGAGTTAAAGGTCGTACTCAAAATTAATTGAGCTTATGTGCATACATGTGTATATTATAGTTAGCTATTCATATATAATTATATATATCATACTCTTATATATATTAACAATACCATTAT